GCCAGCTGGGAGCTACAGGGTGACAGAGCTGCTGGCCGGGAAGTTCTGCTTCGAGACACACAGCGCACCCCAGGGAAGGGAACAGTTTCTCCGAGTCGTCTGGAATGAAGGATGGTCATCTGCTGCTTCATTCTCAGCAGCATCGGCACGGACTTGATCGGAATCTGCCGACATGTAAAATCAGGCCTGATGTTTCGTTCTATCACTGTTATCCAGCGATTGGCAGAAGAGCTCCAGGAGGATGCCCAGAGAAACAGTGTCTTGCCAGCCGCTAGATTTCCTAGGACAAGTTGCAAACTGCACGAACTTTCCGAGCAGGAAAGCTTCAGCTGTAGAGCTGATGCTGGGCCAGATGCAGGGATCACTGTTACTTTCCGCCTTCCTGTAAGCTGCAGGGGCGGGCGAATCCAGGCAGCTCCCAGACAAGGCAGGAATGCGCAGCCCCAGGCCGCGGTCCGGGACGGGCTGCGCACGTCAGCCAGAGGAACAGACGGCTCGGGGAACGGTCTCCCGCCGTCCCGGTCCCACGGTTGCGGGGTGGGAACAGTTTCGTTCGGGGATGGGGTGGGGGAGGGAAAAATGCATGGAAAAGGCTTCATAAAAACCAACTCGCCCGGTTGTGCTGATCGCTCGCCCGGGGAGCGCGAATGAATCCTCGTGTCTCTTACCCTGCTGAATCTCTGCCACGACCCCCGCGCTTCCACACAGCGAAAAGGAAAGATTTAAAGATGTTATTTTAAGCAACCCCCCACTCGCACAGAAAGCAAGCCGCTCAGTTCTGCGTGGAAAACGGTGCAGAATCAGCACCAACCCCACCGCGGAGAGAGGCGCAGGACTTGGGGGCAGCCAGCTATGAGCGCAAACCAGCGAGGAAGAAGGAGACACGAAGACGGGAGAGGACGGTCAACTAATCGGACCACAGCAGCCGGAACCACACGTGACCCCGCGCCCAGAACCGCATGCCCAGCCGTGCAGAACCGCAGAGACTGCAGGCGGCCAAAACCGAGCTGCAGAGCTGCCAGAAATG